TTATATCGGTTGTCATTCAAGGTTTTGTGTCGCTAAATATTTGCAGTAGAAGCGGCATCGAGGAAACTATTTACATTTGATGGCATGCTAAACTGCATACTATGCTGGTGCACCAGGTTTTCTCTCTTCACGTGATGCCTGCCGGAAGAATAGATGAACAGAAGCACCAATCGATGGCTAGTTCTAGTCTGAGAGACCACACACTCGTTAAGATCGCACGGGTTCACGGTCGCAAGTTAACAATTATCTCATTTGGAATTTTCGGAAATTGATTTGAAATTTGGGTTATGACATCAGATCATGTACCGTCTTTGGTTATCCATATGGATCATTGTGCATTTCTATCCAACCACTGTCAACTTGCGCCAATCAAGTTCAGTAGTTCAGAAGTCGTGTACTGTTATAATTGTGCATCAGTTGCAATGTAGTTGATTTCAAGCATATTGACTCATATTTTTTTATTTAAAGTTCCATACACTAGCTGACTTTTTACAATAATTTTGACACTATTTGAATATGAGGCTATTCGGCTCATCAGCGAGGCTCTTCTGACTTGGCACTTGGACGGGAGATAAAACAGCCTATTCACGGACTCTCATCTAAGCCTGCTACTGCAGATTTTACTTCAATCAATGTGCCTCTTCAGCCTATCTACTCCTTGGAATTTTCGGAAATTGATTTGAAATTTGGGTTATGACATCAGATCATGTACCGTCTTTGGTTATCCATATGGATCATTGTGCATTTCTATCCAACCACTGTCAACTTGCGCCAATCAAGTTCAGTAGTTCAGAAGTCGTGTACTGTTATAATTGTGCATCAGTTGCAATGTAGTTGATTTCAAGCATATTGACTCATATTTTTTTATTTAAAGTTCCATACACTAGCTGACTTTTTACAATAATTTTGACACTATTTGAATATGAGGCTATTCGGCTCATCAGCGAGGCTCTTCTGACTTGGCACTTGGACGGGAGATAAAACAGCCTATTCACGGACTCTCATCTAAGCCTGCTA